AGATGGGAAACTACACTTAGTGTGTTGTGATGATGCTCAGGGAATGAGTGTTAGGTAATATAATTAAAGGAAAAAAAAAAGGAAAAAAAAAAAAAAATTTCCCTCAAAAAAAAAAAAAAAAGAAAAAAGAAAAAACAAGATAAAAACAATTTTAGAAAAGAGAAAAAATATTTTAAAGGAAAAAATGAAAACCACATGCTGCACTAGCACACTGCGAGGAAGGGGCGCTCAGAGCTCAGATACAGGTGGCTGGTGCCTGGCTTATCTGACGTCGGGGGGTGGGTATGAATTAGCAAGACAAAACAGTGACAGAGAGCTGAGAACTTTAAAAATAAAAAATAATTTAAAATAAAGAAAAAGATGGAGACAAACAGAGAATAAAGAGGGTGCTCTAGCCTGGTTCAATCTACGGGCCAAGAGGGTGAAGTCTGGGCAGAAGGTCTTCAGTGGTCCCAATCCCGGAAAGGAGTACTCATAACTCAGATATAGATGTCTGTTGATTGGCTTGTCCTGGCTCGATCTGCGGGGCAGGAAGGTCAAGTCTGGGCAGAAGGTCTTCAGTGGTCCTAACCTGAGTCTGGTTTCATTTTTCTGTGGGTGGATATCCAGTTCTTCCAGTAGCATTTGCTGTAAAGGCTTTCTTTTTCTCTATTGTATTGTGTCCTCTGTCAAAAATCAGTTGGCTGTATGTTTTCAGATTTATTTCTGGTTTCTCAGTTCTGTTCCATTGATCTACGTACCTGGAATTTCCACACTCCATTGAAGAATTTGAAAGATTAGAAGGTATAATATCTGGGAAGGCAAGCACAGATACCAAAAATTGTATAGAATGTGATGGGTAGTGAGAGAGAAGGAACCACATACTGTGGTCCCTCCATACCTTGGAGAGAAGGAGGGGCTTGGGGGAAAATGTAACAGACATAAGAACAGAAAATTATCTGTTGGTGATGTCTATAGTAAAGTCTTTGATTTGATTGACATGCACTGCATGCATACTGAGAAAACCCATGTTGTGTGCACTCACTTGGAAAAACATTTGTATATCCATGTTTATTGCAGCATTATTCACAATTGCTGAGACAAGGAATCAGCCCAACTTTCCAAGAATAGATGAATGGGTTGACAAAGTGTGGCACATATACACTATGGAATACTGTACAGCCATAAAAATGAGATCCTAGCATTGGAGAGAAAGTGGACAAATACGGAAGCTTTAACACTAAGTAAAGCCAGCCAGACTATGAAAGAGAGGCACTGTATGTCCCCACTCACTGCAGACTGAACGTCTGCATGCTATGGTGGAGACTGAAAGATAGAAAGGTATACAAGCATGGAGAGCAACCGTGGGCACTAGAGACAGTGTGGGAGTGGGGGGGGACATGTGGGGATTGAAAAGAGAGAATCAAGTGTAAAAGAAAGAAGCAAAATGTTTAATGGACACAGAAAAGGGAAATTATCCATTGATGATGATGTACATGGTAATATCTCTGCCTGCACTAATATACAAGATATTCACGCTAGAAAAAAAAAGAAGTACAATTATTAAATGTAAATAAAGAAAGAACCATCATCAATCATTGTAATCTACCATGTCAACAGAATAGACAATTGATGATCACATCCCTTGATGCAAAATAATTTTAAAATTGATGCAAATCAATGAAAAATCCAACATACATTTAAAATAAATATTCTGGACATATTAGAAATAGAGAACTTCCTCAGTTTGATAGAGAACATCTATAAAAAGTCTCTGCTAGGATCATACTTAGTGTTTCACCAGACTGAATGTTTCCTCTAAGACCGAGAATAATCTGTACTTTTATTTAACATAGTACTGAGAGTTGCAGCCATTGCAGTGCGTCGAGAAGAAGGAAAAAAGGCATACATTTGGAAAGGAAGGAAAACATTGTATACAGACGACATCGTTGTCTACATAGGAAAATCATCCTATGCCAGCAGGTGGTGTGGTGGTTAAGGCGGCTGGGTCTCGTGTGGCTGACTGCAGTTGGAGTGCAGGATACAGCAACCTGAGAAACAGGCCCAATATGTGTGTGTGGGCGCATGCCCAAAGTCTTGAAAGGAGGGAGAAGT